GCAACTACATATATTAAATACCGCAATACTTGCGCGAACTACACTGTAGCCTGATGTCACCTCTGTGTGAATACAAAACGTCGAACCAGTAAAACTTGTTCCTGCTATCGCGTCCCCATTCCAACGCCTTCACGGGACTTATAGATGAATAGACATTCCATAGACGCAAAATGCTACTAGGGTATTTTTGCATGCTTCAACGAAACACTTTTCCATTGGTGGCTCACGCGTGTACATTCCAGAACAGATGTGCTTAACAGGTCCGAAACTTACTACCCAGTGGCATTTACTTCTATAATCCATTAGTGATGTATACAGGCACATGACTTGACAGTAACCTACACACGAATGCATGGAACGTACCTTCAACCTTCGCTGGCTCCTCTGACAAAGTCATAGTTTTGCATCGCATGTGTTCGCCAGATCCATCAATCCAGATGTATGTGACCTGGAACTGTTCGGCTTTGTTAGGAAGTTCCAGATATCTGGCCAGGAGGGACTTCCTGTCAGCAGGAGTTGATACGCCGCCAAGCATTTCGGGCGAATATGACCGACGCAGCTACTCTGAGTTTTTAAGCTAACGTTGATGCGGTTGTCTGCTAAAATAGCCAATCAGAGTAACAGCGGACGGCCCCAGGACAGAACACGCTTCCACGCGTTGCTGTGACCTTGAAATTCTAATCCAACAGTCCGGCTGCTTTTTTATTGGTTAGCCGGTTAACCAACGTCATTCAAGTACACGTTCTAACCGCGTGGGTGAACGATCCAAGCCCATCACGTGTAGACGGCAAAAGCTAACGCATGGGCAGCAAGACGTTATGAAATCGAACCAGGAAGCGTGTGCTCCATACCTGCAGGACTATTCGCAGCAGTCGAAAGCTCGAGATGGGCTGCCGGTTGGCCTAAATACTGCCTGCTCGTCTTGGATAGGATATTTGCCCTCGGCTAGTGCTTGCCGTGGAGTAGGATTGCTTGCAGCCCTGGCTTAGCAACGGTTATGTTAAGAAATTTTTTTTTCTGGCCAATCGTCTTTCCTATAAAGTGCTGTGGAGTCCTGTGACGACCTTGTGACATGGCAATGGTAGACCTCCATCAAATAAGTTAATTCGGTGCCATTGTCTTTCGGACTACATATGCTACCGCAATAGGAGCCAGGGGACCAAATTTATGATCTGAGATTTTTCTTCTTTCCCTTGCTCACTTAAAAAGTACATTAATGCTGATAATAATTATTATATGACGCCAATTTGTAAGACGTATCGAGTTAAAGGTTATATGCCAGACGGACAGTGGGAAGGCAGTTGAGAAACGGCCTCGAATTTCAGCTGAAAAATTGAATTACCTCGGCTTCCAGCAAATTTTCTAGTAATTGAATGTAGTTTAGTTGCAGTGGTCTTATGAGAAGAAGGTCTGACACTGAAGGGATAAAAATAAAACGAAATTATCGTTGGGATCCTAGATATTTCTCAGCCTCATTCTTTGATACAAAAGCATTTCAGTCTAGAGGACTCAAGCATAGACGCTAGTCTTGTTTGTGGGAAAGGAGGGGAGAGTTTCCCTGCTAACTGCCTCATAGTCGCCGGTATAAAGGTACGGGGTAAGCCAAGCACGAACATCGACCAAGCCAAGAAGACCGGAGGTGGAGAGGGCGCAGGTGACCAGTGCAGCCGGAACTACGCATAAGCCTGCCGCCACACTTAGCTCGGACCCCAAATAGTCAGAATGCCATAGAAGTCACATTAAGAAGGAGCCTGACGCTTAATCCGCCAGTCAGCCACATCATAGAAACACTAAATAGGTTGACCAAGTGGTCGGAGCTATCCCGTCAGTTGGAAATATTCCAAGCCACCGCTTTTAGCGCACAGTGCTGGCTTCAAGTGCGTCGGCTTGTTTATATTGAGAAAAGCGCGCTTAGCCGTCGATCTCACTCTCTATTTCTATTACCTGGCCTTAGACACCTTCCGAGGCGGTTAGTTGACTGGTGCAAGGAGTGGGCGCATGGCTAGCAACCTCGTCCGCGTGAGTCGAATACATGTCCTGGTCTCCAAAACGCAATCAGGATTTCGTAAAAAAGGGGTTGGGCGACAGGGCCAGGGGTCACGTTGAGAAGGAGCCATTGCAGTCAAACCCTCAGGCCCCCAATCGGCCACACCACAAGAACTCACCTTGGATTAATTGTGAGATCTAAT